CATGTTTGGTCAATTTCAGACTGCAGAAGTTGATAAAAATCTTCAATTTCCTCATCTTTGGGTTTGGTGGTTGGTGCATAAATTTGAGTAATAGTCAAATCAACGGGTTTTCCTTTTAGGTGTACGGATATTATCCTATGACCGACAGCATTGTACTTCAGGACAGATCTTGAAACATCCTTTGCGATGATGAATGCCACACCATTCCTCTTCAAATTGTCATTCTCGGCGTAATAGACCATATGGTTGTCTGATTCAAAATGGCCAAAACCAGTCCATTTCAGTTCACTAGTGCCTAGGATATCAATCTTTACACATTCAATTTCATTTTGGACAACTTCCAATATTCCTAGATCCATACTTCGTACATTGCATGTTCCAATTATTAATGGATGTTTGTAGCTCATTCTCCTCAATTCAGCTGGAATTGGAGATACCATTTGACCCAGCAATCCCATTACTAGGTATATATCCTACAGAGGTGAGAGCCAGGAAAGGAACAGATGTATGCACACTCATGTTCACTGCAACATTATTTACAATAGCAAAAAGATGGAAAAAACCTATGTGCCTATCAGCGGAAGAGTGGATGACCAAAATATGGTACACACACATAACAGAATGCTTTGCAGCACTAAAGAATAATATGGAGTTTGTGAAACACCGCATAATATGGTGAACTTGGAGGACATTATGCTGAGTCAAATAAGTCAATCACAGAAGGACATATATAGTATTAGGCTGTTGTTGTGGAGTGTCTCGGAAAGGTTTATATATGGAGGAAAACCTTCTTTGTTGTTTGCCAGGGGTAGGAGGGGAGGGAAAGGAACACTGCAAAAAAAAAAAAAAATATATATATATATATATATATATATACGCATTGACTCATGTCACTTTAATTTTGTGTATTTCACTGTACCTAAATTGTATTTCAATAAAATGCATTAAAATAAAAAATAACAGTTTAACTTAACTAGTAAAAAAGGTCTGCCTTGAGCATTATGCTATTATAAGATGTACATGGGATCAAATTGACAACAGCAACTTACATGATTACATAGAAACCTTTGAGGCAGTGAGTTTATGTTTCTACATGGAGAAGGAACAACATAGTAAAGGAGAGTGAGATAGGGTTGCTCAACTTGAAGAATGTCATCGATGTCACTAAACACAGTATATATAGAAACTGCTGATTGGTGCATGTTTTACTTTATATATTCTCAACAACAAAATAAATAAAAAATTTTTAATATTAAAAAAATTCCCTAGTTAGCAATTAAAAGTCCCAACATTTTCAATGTATGCTATTCTTTTTCTATTATGGCTCAGTAAACACCTTCACTAACCTGCACATGCCTCTGTTTGAGCAATGTCTCATAACGGTTGGATGTTGGCAGATGGATTGTTGCTCCTTGATTCTTGCATTCTGATCGTAAACGTTTATCAAGAAGCAAACTAATAAAGAGAGGAAAAATGGAAGTGTCAAATCAAATTATCAAAGACTTTGTATCAAAATCACAAACCATTTAAACTGAACAATATTTTAGATAAATTAATAAAGAACGTTTTCCTTGAGCATTGTGCCCTTTTAAAGAATTATTTGTATGAGACTGAATTAACAACAGTAATTCCAACCTTTAACAGGCAGAGACTGTAAATTAATGGCAGTCAAATAGTATAAGCAGAGATACTAAGGATGGTAATACAATGTGAAGTATGTAAACAATGTCAACGAACTTTGCATGCAGAAGTTGTTGAATGGATGTAAAAACTGCTGTGCATATTTGCACAACACACACACACACAAATCACAAACCAGTCACTTACCTTCCTGCCATAACTTTATAATATGCAAATATCTGGTCTGCTAGCTTATAAACAAATTGATCAAAACATAGATTCACCTGAATAAAAAGAAAACACATTTTAGATTTTAATATCCTGAATCAAGACCAAATAACACAACTTTAAAAATAAAATTTTTGTGAGACAATTAATTGAGACTCTTATAAGAAAAACTAGAAACAATCTAATTATCCAATAAGAACAAATTAGTTATTTGTATGCCACTAAATTGCCATTGATGGTTATATATCAGAATCCTTCTTACTGATGGAGAAAAGTATTTCTATAGTCTTAAATACAAAGGAAAATGAAGAAGTCCTTCATCACGTGCTCCAGTGAGTTAATCTGCACTGTTTGGGGGTATTTCCCACTCTGGGGGATAGCTCTGCCATTAGCTCCTGCTTTACAGGAGCCCTGCCCATGGGATTCTTCTCAGGTTTGCCCAGGGCAAATGGGGGTAGGGGGCACTGCACTGGTCATGGAGTATAAGTAGACACCCAGGTGGACTTAACCCTGAGACTTAACCCCTGAAACAGCCTCATTTGCAAAGGGGACTAGCACCCACCCCTAGAGCTATGAATAGGATACAGTGAAAAGAGCCCTGCCCTAGTGGTCTCAGAGGCCCTGGCAAACAGGAGCTGAGAGGTATAGGTCTCCACAGGTCACCCACCCACAACATCTTCCCTCAAGAATCGCTTTCAGGAACTTCCAGTAAGATGGCAGAATAGGCAGACAAGCTACATAAACCCTCTTCAACAAAGAAAAGAGAAACCAATTGACAAGAGATACCTAAGATAATCCTGGAGCCCTAAGCTTTGAAAGGAAGTATACAGAAGTGGATTATGCACCAACTAGTGCAAGAATCTGAATGAAAACACTGAGTATAGAGATGGATGGAGCTGTGGTCTGTCAGCTACTCTGACGGCACCAACAGTCTGAATACTTCCAGATGGTGTTGGGACCTGAGACCTGACCTAAAGATTGGTCACCAAGGGCCGCAAGGATAACTGCACTGGTGGCCGATGACTAGGAAAGAGCAAAGAGGGAAACAACCTGAGCTGGGGACTTTCAACTGTGCGTAGGGCGCAGCCATTTTGATTGTTTACAAGCAGTGGCCATTTTAGATATTTAAAATTACTGAAGGCACAGCCATTTTGAATGTTTACAAGCGCTGGCCATTTTGGATATTTAAAATGACCAAGGGCGCAGGCATTTTGATGTTTGCAAAACATGGCCATTCTGCAAAGAAATCGGAAAATACCATGGACTGCCAAAAGAACGAACAAATCTGTCCTGGGAGTATTGTAGACGGAATGCTCCTTGGTAGCGAGAATGGCCAAACTTCAACTGATCTACTCTGGTCATGTTGTCAGAGGGACCATTCCCTGGAGAAGGATATCATGCTTGGTAAAGTGGAGGGTCAGCAAAAAAGGGGAAGGCCCTTAACAAGATGGATTTACCCAGTGGCTGCAACAATGGGCTCGGGTATATCAACGATTGTGAGGCTGGTGCAGGACTGGACAGTGTTTCATTCTGTTATACACAGAGCCAGTATGAGTTGGAGCCAACCAGAGGGCACTGAACAACAACAATATAAAGTACTCAATGTGGTATATGGAGTGGTGGTTTAGGGACATACGTGTATAATGCTTATAAGGGCTGGTTCTTCCCAACTAATAAATAAGGTTAAGGAACATCTGGGGTCTTCTAAGACTTACTATGCCTTGGAAGGAAGGTTGGGCAATCCTACTTCTGTAGTGATACTGCTTCAGAAACCCAAGGAGGGGTCGCTGTGAGTCGGGGTCGACTCCACAGCACATAACAACAACATGCCTGCCTGGTTAAAACAGACTATCAAAATCTAAAATCACCTATAACATTCAATAACATAATATCCACTTTAGTACTTTCTCCTGCATATAATCAAATATACACAAAAAGTAACACTTTGGATAAATTTTACATAAAAAGAAATAAATCCTCAAAAAAAAAAAAAAGTGGCCATTTTGGATATTTAAAGTGACAGCATTCTCATTCAAATTGCAGGGACCTAAGAATAGGCTCTGGTAGCATAGTGGCTAAGACACTTGCCTGCTAACCAGACGGCTGGCGGTTCAAACCCACCAGCCACTCCTCGGAAGGAAGGTTGGGCAATCCTACTTCCGTAGTTATACTGCCTCGGAAACCCAAGGAGGGGTCGCTATGAGTCGGGGCCGACTCGACGGCACATAACAACAACAACAACAACAAGAATAGGCTCTGCTTGACAAAGATAGCAGGGACATACAGGAGGCTGACAACAGGAAAGGAGACAGGTGGTGAGTGTGTAAGTGCTGCCAACTAGCGAACAGAGGAACATAGTGAAGGGTTAATAAAATCCAATCTCACAGTAATTTACCCTTAGGAAAAATGGAATGTTACAAAGAAAATGTACAAAAAAAATTCCAGATTATCAGACTCCTGAAAATAGTTAATGAGTACTGTCTGCCTCTATAAAAAGTTATATTATAGGGGCACCATGACCACAATAAAGGAACAAGCTGAGGGAAAGGAAGGAACAGGCTGATGACAGGACTTGGCTGACTAAACCCTACAATATCTTAAACCCCGAGACAAAGAAATGAAAAATTGAGGAAGAAGGATAAAAGGACCTGAACTGAGACAATTGCTGCTGGTGTCACCAATGCAGAGAGTTAGCCCTTTTGCTTTGATGCTTGTATCTTTTAAATAAATTCTCTTTTTCTATTTCTCTGGCCTGGTTCCTCTCAGCATCAGCAACCCACTCTTAACAGTCTTGATGCTAAAAACCCGGGAAGGAACAAAGACCAAATAGGAAAAACAGAAAAGCCCACAAGGGTTTAAACAGGCTGAAGAAACAACTTGCCAGGAGGAACCCACAAGGAATCCCATGCCATTACAGACAACACATCCACCACTGGCCGATTCCTTCTTGGTGAGTGACATTCTGTTTTCCCTTCACGGATTTCTAATTTGTTGATTACTCTAAGACCTAGCTCTAGGCCAGAAAGCCTCCAGCTTTAGCCTCTAGGCTTCTGCCCTCCAAAACCTCCTCTGTGCCGGGGACACCCATGCAAAAGTGGTTTCAATCTCTCCTCTGGTGCTGGACCAAACAACAGGGATGCCTTTCCTTTGGTCTTAACATCTCCAGAACTCAAGATTGTCACTTACCCACTATGAGGAACAATCAATCTGTTCTCTCTAAATCTACACCTTTCAGGTGTCTTTAACCAATATGTCTTATTTTCTTCTGCAATACCATTGGGCCACAATGCAAATTAGACAGCAACTCCCAGTGGCCAGAAAATGGCACTTTCAATTTAATGTCCTCAGGGACTTAAGATCATTTTTGTCAACGTAATGGAAAGTGGTCCAAAATTCCTTACATCCAGGCATTCTTTACCCTCTGGAACAGACCCTCTCTTTGCCAATCCTGTTCCACCTCCCAAATTCTCCTACTGCACTCCAAACTCACTTCAACTAACCTAACCCTCCTCACTTTGAACTTCTAGAATCTGAAATTCCTTTCAATCCAGCTCATCATTCACCACCACCACAAAATAACTCACCCCTATATGACCCAGATGCTTCCTCTCTTCCTCCTGTATCTTTTTCTCCACCTCATACATAGTCTAGAACTAACCAATCTACCCTCCAATTCTTCCTCTTCGTGAGGTAGCAGGAGCTGAGGGCAGTGTCCAAGTTCAAGTTCCCTTCTCTATATCAGATTTATCTGATTGAAAAACACCTTGGATCCTTCTCTGCTGATCCCACTGCTTATATTAAAGAGTTTGAGTATCTCTCCCACTCTTTGAAAACTGTCATGATATTTATGTCATTATAACTTCATCACTTACTCCTGAAGAGAAAGAACATGTTTGGCTGGCAGCTCAAGCCTACACTGATGAACTACATTGGCAAAATGCAGCCTTATCACTGGGACTGTAGTCGTACCTTAAGCTGATCCAAATTGGGATTATCAGACTGATTCCCTCAGTAGGCAACACTGCAGCCATATGCTTACTCACCTTATTGCCTGACTCAGCAAAATGGCTCACAAAATAGTCAATTATGAGAAACTCAATCACTCAGGGTCCTGAAGAGAATCCAGCCCTATTCCTTTCCGAACTGACTGAGACTTTACAGAAGTATACTATCCTAGACTGCACTTCACAAGAAGGATTCCCACTTCTTAACATGCATTTTATTTCTCAGTGTGCCCCTGACATCTGATGGAAACTTCAGAAATTAGACACTGGTCCACAAACCCCTCAAAGAGACCTTCTTAATCTTGCCTTTAGGGTCTTTAACAATAGAGATGAGGAATTAAAATTACAAAAGCAAAAACAAGATCAGGAAAAAGCCCAACTTTTAGCCTTCTTACAAGGCTCTGTAAGATAGCCACTGCAGGGGAAACTTACTCTTTAAAACTCCCTCCAGGACCATGGAGAGGCAAATTTGAGCCTCCTCCAGGATCATGTCTCGATTGTGGCAATAAAGTCCACTGGGCCAGATCCTGTCCAAATCCAAGACACCCACATGGGCTGTGTTTAAATTTGTGTGCAAATTTAACATAGGAAAAGACGGAGAGAATACAAATAACAAATGAAATGGGTGACATCACAAGAGAACGAACTGAAATTAAAAGGATAGTATCAGGATACTAGGAAGAACTATACTCCAACAAATGTGAAAATCTGGAAGAAATGGGCAGATTTCTAGAAACACAAGACTTACCTAAACTAACACAGACTGATGCAGAAAAGCTGAACAGATCCATAACAAAAGAAGAAATTGAACAGGTCATCAAAAAATTACCAACTAAAAAAAGTGCTGGCCCAGGCGGTTTCATGGGAGAATTCTACAAAACATTCAGAGAAGAACTTACACTAATCCTACTCAAACTTTTCCAAAACACAGAAAAGGATGGAATCCTTCTTAACTCATTTTATGAAGAAAGCATAACCTTGATACCAAAACCAAGTAAAGACATCACTCAAAAGGAAAACTGCAGAAAATTGCATCATGAATATAGGTACAA